AATATGGGCCCTTTAAACTATATATTTGTTTATACTAGTAGTTTCCGTTTTCTTTTCCATTATCCCTATTTAACCCCAAGCTTCAAACCCTGAACCTTCTCCAAGCACACCCCCCCCCCCCCACCCAAACTGTAAACCCCTTCAAAACCCACCAGCCCACGAGTCCCATCTGAGGTGGTGACTTGCAGTGCCAAATGATCTCATCCGAGGCAGCCTTGTTGAGGCACAGCCTGTGAAAGCGCAAAAAAACTGGACATTCAACAGGGATTTCAGAATGGGACCGCTCTTGAAACAAGCCATTTAAGGTGGTGAGCTCGGGTAAGGTTGCCAAAAGTTGCCCAGCAAAAGGCACGTTCAGTCATGGCTTCAGCATTGAAATATATATATATATAGTCATTGGAACATGTTCTTCAACTCCCCGGAAGGCCCTTAAAAGAGTAGTAAATATTCCCAGGAGTGATTCTTGATGACCACTGCAGCTGTAGGGTTGAGGGCTGGGGGTATGAACATTTTGTGGCTATGGTAGCTTTGGGGCTTACGGCTTGAGGTCTGATTTCTTGGTGATCATCGTAGATTGAGGGTTTCGCGTTTAGGCCTCTGAACTGTACTTGAACCATATGCCAGGAAAGCAAAGATGAGTTGTTGAAAGTACAAGCCTCTGGGCGCCAGGAATATACCGCGGGCCCTACAAATTCAAGCGGCAGGAGTAAGATTCAAACTACAGTAGATGGGGCACACCTTGCACTCTTCGCAGGGTGTGGGGTACATAGCGTGGTGAAAGGGTTTCTCCATCCACATTACTAGTAGGTTTGGAGCCCTATAAGATTTGAATTTCTATGGCCATATAAGGATTACATAGGGATTGAGGGTAATAAAAATTGAAGATTATGTTCACACCTATCCTGATTATTGCCAAGCCATACAGGAAGCCCATGGAACTATGTTGCTTCAACACTTCCAATGAAATGCCACAAGCCACTCAAAGAAAGTGTAATTAGCCTGACCGACATATACCCTCCTCTAAACTCGCACATCGTGCTGATACATGGCCTTCTGCCCTCACAGGGACCCCTGCATTGTATAAATGAGGGATCCTATTTTGTCGAGGGGGGGGGATCCCGTACACTAATCAGGATCCCACATTAATAAGTTTCCCCAGGCTTCCAGCACACCCGTAGAATCTAACGCGTGGATCGCCTGAATGGCGGCTTGCTCTTCCACATCTCACCAGTAACGTAGTCGCGACCTTGACATGTCCACAGGTGTTAAACTGTTAGCGATCGAAGGCTGAAGACCCCACGTCTCAAGAAGACCCCGTGCCTCAACAGCAACATGTTCGTTACTTAGCATCAGGATCAAATATGTACTTTTTGAGCTACACAAAGTTTAGGGTTTAGGGGTTTGAGGGTGGAAGGCTTACATCACATGTCCGAGTCGCCGTGAGGTTCAGGCATGCCGGCGCAGCTTTTCTGAAAAACCGCGCCAATGCACATAGTACTGGTAATATAATTTTGAGGTCTAATGTAAGCCCTGAACCGTAATTAGACAAGGAACGTGCAACCATAATTTTGGTACTTATCAGGGCCACTATATGAAGTTAGAAGGGTGCTTGAAACAAATGTTGAAGCCCCTCAGATCCTTGTTTTGCTTCAGCTGATTACTTTTTTTCGGTTGCTATAGGGATTATACCCCTCACCTTCGAGCATGGACCCTACGTCTGACTCCTTAAGGAGTGCCTAGACTCCTAGATTCTAAGCCATGAGCCTAAACTCTTAACCCTTACCCTAAGCGATGACAAGCCCAATGGCAAGCCCAAAACTTTTCAGCTGAGGGGCGACCAAGCTCGTTGCAGAAGCGCTTGCCTCGCAGGAGAGTCTTTGCGCCGCGCTGGGGTGTGTGTTTCGGAGATGGGGGTTACGGAAAATTTCCCCGATGCCTTTCGGGAACCCGTTTTGTGTGAACCCCTCCGCCACATCAGGAGATTCTGTATCCGTTTGGGAAGAGTAGTATGTTTCATCATGTTTGGCAAGCTAGGCAGCTTTTGTTAGGGGTTTTTTGTTTGGACACAGATTCCACTCTGCAACGATCGTGTAGTTAAGACTTTGGACCCTTAGCGTCAAACGCGCGATGTTTGTCCGATCACCTCTTATAGGAGTGCAGGATCCAACTTGTAGTTGAATTCATCTGATTAGAAGCCTACATAATCAACAATACTATTCCGCGTATCACCCTTAATATAATTCACCCGCAAACCCAAGTTTTATTGAAGAGGCCCACGCAATAAAGCTTACTCATGGAGCCCATGGCCTTCCGCATTGAGGATGATGCCACCCACACCTCGAAGTGCCTCAGGGATGTCTAGGTTAGGTGGACTCCCCACCCCGTAATAGTGACTATAAGGGATAATAATGATTCTAGTAGGGTCCTCTTATATGCCTATTATACTATCATTACAGGGTGGGAGGTCCTCCTAATGTCTAGGGCAGTTTAGGATTGAGGGTTTGGGGCAGTCTAGGGTTTGATTTGCTGAGGTGCGAGTTTCTCAAAACAGGGAGCCTAGGGTAGTCAAGGGCATCCCGATTAAGTTGGAGAAGCTCCCCAAATATGGTGCCTTCCGAGATATGAAGAAGTGAACGGCCCGGTTCAACAACTATCCCAGAAACAACTCTACAGCTACACAGCCTGTGGAATTTCAACATTTTGGTTCGGTTGCAGGCTAAAGGCTACGCACTGGACAGGTAAGAACGGCAATGCTGCTGGAAGAGCCTCTGCAGCAAGGAACTTGATCTTGGCATCTGCATCATCTGGCTTCACCAGCCCCGTCGGGTGCACCTGTGCTTGGACTCTTGCAAATATTAACAAGGGGATTTTGGTAACCCCAACCTCCAGAATTAGGACCCTATGACTTGACTATCATATGATGGTTATATGGTCCTTATTTTGGGGGTTGGGGTTACCAAAATCCCCTTGTTAAATATAGTGCCTCTGAACAGAAGTCGTTATGAAGGAACCAAGCAGAGACAGAAGGCCCTTATTAGAGCGTGGGTTGGGTGAGTATGGTTTGAGGTTGAAAGGGGTTGTGGCTTTCGGGACTCATGCTTGGAGTTTAAGGCTCAGGCCTCTGCAGTTCCACAGGCAGTCATCCCAAACCCATGAACCCTAGTAAATCCAGCTCCCAGTACATCTTCCATTTGATTATCCAGCGTCGGGTATACGACTGTATAATAATATACATATATACATATACACACCCTAAAACCTAAACCCTTCTGAGACCCCACGGGGACCGCGCCTGGACCCATTCCAGGTCAATAGTCTTGGCGCCGATGGCCTGTACAAATTGGGGGCCCTATGGGAGCCTAGAGATAGATGGGGATTACATAGGGATCACGGGTGTCGCTAGCAAGCGCTCTATAAAGGTCGTTCTGATCAACTACCATATGAAAAGCTGTTGTTCATACTGCTTGAGGGTTGAAGGTGTGGGGTTGATGGGTTTGGAGCTTAAGGGTTTAGGGGCGAGGGGCCTTGAGGGTGCAAGATTTGATCAGAGATCAAGGACCACAACAACACCTCGCAAAGGGATTGACACTCCCAGGTGTAGAATTCGGGTGTACTTGCAGGCAGGGTGTAACCAAAACCTGATCAACTACTGCGCTTAATCCATCACCATGGACTTGCATAGAAATCTTGGGCATAGCCAAACCTACTAGTTCGGTTTGCATGTAATTGGGCTGAGCGGCGTTGCTGTCAATTCAGTTACGACCTCATGATTTAGTTCCCAGCTGTGAGCAGAGGCTTCATCATTTAGACTTGGGGTCACGCATTGTCCATGCAAAGTTAGAACACCTGAACATAGAACACAGAGAACCGCAGAAATAAGCATGATCAGCACACTTTGATAACACCAAGCTGTTGATGGGCAAGCATGTTTCGCCCTACGCCTCAATGCATGAACCCGCCAACCCGGTACCAGAAACCCCAGCCATACATTAAACCTAAGCCCACACCTCCAAAGTGACACCTGAACCCTCAACCTCAAAACAAGCAACCCCCAAAGTGGCTTGCTGTTCAGGAGCCTGAATCAACCTGCCATTGTGGAGAAGGCACCGCATACCAGAACACTGGTGGCTTAAGTAAGTTGCTTCACAGCACAACCCAAGAAACCCTCAAACCCCACGCATGCACCTCGCCCATCTTGATGCCGTCGCCAGTGCAGTGCTCACCATTGGTGGTGGGCCTCAACAAAGCTGTAGAACATTTCTTTGTGCGACCCTGGGCTCAGAATGGGGGAACCTATTCGTAAGGTTTGCACTAGGGGTATATTTGGCTTAAGCGGATAGAGCAAATAACCTCACTTCAGGGGTCCTCAAGGTTCATGCTAAGGAATTGTCCTTTTTGTGGGTTTCTCAAACTAATTGGCGGTGCCATACAAGTTAAGAAGATTGTAAAGGTCCCGCTGCAGGATTGCATAGCAATCGCTTCTTGGGACCCTTGTATACTGTGGCAACTTAATAAGGTCCAGTTCCTTAGTAGCGGCCCAAGCTTTGGATGGCACATAATTTCTGAAGGCTCAGGGCTAGGGATTAATTCTTGAGGGTTAGAAGGAACTCACGGGGGAAAAAAAAAAAAAACAGACACCCTAAACGTCCGTCCTTTGTCGGGCTCCTTTTTTGGCAAGGCGGGATGCTTTTTTGAACGATTGAGTAGCTGTGGAACCCGGAGCCTCAAACCCTCGGCCCTGAGCCCTGAAGCTGAAAGCCCAATAACTTTCAGGTGTAGGGGCAGGGTTTAGGGTTCAGGGTTCAGAAGCCACAGACATTGGTCGAGGTGCAGATGCAGCAGATCGGGGCGGTACTTGGCAAGCAGTGAGTCCTCTGGAGCTTGTGCTTTGTTAGGCTTGAAACCCAGGGCTTTGGGGCTTGACATGCAACTTCATTGACGAAAGTAAGTAAGGTCCAAATCTTTGGGGGATTCTGGGTCTTTTTTGGGAGTCTAGGTCATGTCATCCTGAAGTAGATATAGGCGAAAAGGGACAAGGCTGAAGCCCAGGATATAGTCCATGTACCTTGGGTCAATCCCCCACCNNTGGGTACCACAAGGTACTATTGTAGGTATATTAAGGTCCTATTAACTCCGTATTAAGGAGCCATTACTATAGGGGGGATTGACCTAACATGTACCCCATGTTCTTCTGTCCACAAAGCGATGCCTCTGGATTTCCAGGGCCTGAGTTGCGTCCCATCTCGAGGATCATGCTAAGAGGTTTGCAGTTCAGGATGTAATGGTTTCGGTTCTCTTGCCTAAACCCTAAACCCTAAAGCCTGAACTCCAAACTCTACACCCTAAACCCGAATCTATAGCTAGACCCTAGAACCTCATCCCCTCTCTTCTTACATCCAAACAGAACCAACTCCTGGAACCTTATAACTAGCCCTATATGCTCCCCATGCGTACACCTTTCACAACATATTCCTGTACATTTTCATGATGCCACTTGTTTCAAACTAGCTCCTCTATTCACTCCCCCACTCCCACCTCAAGAACCAGCACATTGTTGGAGGAGCCCTAAAACCTAAATCCTGAACCCTAAACCCTCAACCCTGCCCTAAAACCTAAACCCTGATCCTGGGTGAAGTCGGCGCCGAAGCCACCTTTAGCCAGCGAGCTTGTTGCAAGTACCATGAGGAGCTTCTGGGTTGCTGCTGGTGACCTTAAACTGAGCTACTGTCAAGGACCTCTACTTGATATACTATAATCACCAACCCCCGTTATTTACTTTATACCCGCAATATGGTAACTTGAATTAAGTAAGTTACTCTTGTAAAAAACATGCTTGTCCTGTGCTCCTGTGCAAACGTAGTCTGGCAACTTGATTTACGCTCCTTAGCAGCAACCCAGGCTTTTGACGTCACACGGTGACAGGGCGTAGGGTGTAGGATGTTGGGGGGGAGGATTTCAGCCACCCGAATTTGTCACAGCCCTTGTGGTACTTCAGGACTACGGCATGAAACGTCAATTGAAACTTTGTGTGTTCCCTGTAATGAGGGTTCTAGTAGTTTGGTCACTGTATTGGGGCCGCCCCTGTTTATTAAACTCCATAACGAGCTATATGTTCCTGGTATCCCCCTAAATAGACCCTGTAATGGTCCTCTGTATAATCCCCTTCAAGGAATTCAGACCATATCTCATATTACCATTGCAGTGTATCTGTTTGGCTTGGAATTTTGAAGTTCTTCCGGCCATGAAATGACATCTGAGTACTCGCGCCACCAAGTAACGGTCTTTAATGGAGGCAAAGATGAAGCCTTTACATGTCATAACACAACTATTATCCAACCTTTACTGGAGGGGACCTCAATTGTTCTAATCCTTTGGAGCTTGTTGCAGGTTCTCCGAGAAGACGACATTCATCCCTAACAGGTTGCAGGGCTTGCCCTGGATATGTCAGGATGATGCTAAGACGAAGTGCTGTAGTCGCAAAGGTAATGCATGGGCCCACTTGAGTAGGTCAGGTTGTGCGGCAGTGCCGTTGTTAAGTTGCTTATACGGACTCAAAACCACTGCCCTTCGTAATGGTACCTCCTAACGAAACAGCCCATATTTCAATCACCTCAAAGCTTGGCCATGCTGGCACTCGACGCTCTAGTCCCTATATTGTGCCCAATGGCACAATACCTTCCAGTCCCTAAACCCTAGACCCTAAACCCTAAACCAGGTGCGCCTGAGGCCAAGATCACAGGGCCGAACTCCTGGAAATTCTGGCCGGCCTTCTCCTGACCATGTGGACAATTTGCCAAAACAGATGGCCCTTGAGGACCCAAAGGATTTTTGGGAATTACAAGGCGGCTGTCGAGTAAATTCCCATGTCAAGAGTAGGGCTTTGAGGTAGAGCCCACCTGAAAGGTTCAGACTTTATTTTGAGATATTATCTAACACGTTTGGGGTTGGACTTGTAGGATTTAGCGCAAACTGTCAGGGAAAAAGTTTTAAAGGCTACGAGAATTAAGTACTTGTGGTCTTTTCAAGGGACCACCCCAGATGATGCATCCTTTTCAACATTCCTGAAGAAGCGCATGTGCTTTCACCAAAGCTACACAAGAACTCTACCTCATTTGGCCTCAAGGACTCCGGGACCCAGAGTGTAGGGTGTAGTAGCGAGTCATGTTATTGGATTTCATAGCGGCTTCCAGGAAGTCCTGGAGCAGCCTGCAGGAAAGGACGTCGCTTAATGAATGTTTCGGAAACATCTCATATCAAAACAGATGGTAAGAACCCATCATGAGCATCCAAGCCCAACAAGCCCAGTATGGAGTTCCATAGCAGGATTGCATCCACTCTTGAGACTCTTTGTTTGCTCCTTCGGGCTGTGGGTCTAGGATCAGAAGCTTCCAACAGCAGCAAGACACTGACATGTGGGCTTGGCTGCGTCAATGGCCTCAAAGGACACCACACGCAAACAGGACCACGCAAAAGCAGGGTCGCCCATTAAGAATGTCTAGATTGCCAGGTGGCCTCTGCACACTGAGGGATGCGTGTCTTCTTCTTTCAGCCCCCAAATGCTCCCCGGACCCTACACCCTAAACCTCAAAGCCCCTGATACATGAGAGTCGCTGGACCTTGCACGCGTAGACGCAGCAGCAATGGGTGATAGATCTAATTAACTCACAAACAATTTAACGCCTTTGTACTTTGCGGCTTGGAGGTTTCAAGATATAACACGAGCTATTGTCTAAACTCCGTAACATGGTTATATAGGGGCTTGTATAGGGGAGCATTGTATGGGCTATTCAGGAGGATACTGGGGTAGGAGTTTAGACTGGAGCTCACATGACCGATTATTCTGGAATATTGGGATTGCTTTCGAGGACGACTACAGCTAGATACGAGTATTGAGTACTGAAACATGGTGGCACGCACACAACAACTTGAGCTTGTGACTTACAAAGGTGGCTCCCGCAGACTGAAACTGACTTGACACACCAGCTTGAGAAAATCCATGCCTAAACCAAAACCCTCAACCTTCAAACCCTAAACGCTAAACCCTATCGACCGTAATCAGGCCGAAGCTGCGTAGACGCAGCCAACGCAAGCGCCACCCTCGGTCACCAGCTTAAAAACCTCGGTCAGGCAATTGATCCCCTAATACCCAGACTCAGACCCCTTAAAGGATCACAAAAACAGAAAATAGAACTCCCAAAAATGAACCCATTGATATACTGGGGAAACTGGGGGATTAGCAGTGGGTATAATGAACCCTGACATTCCCCCAATAATACTTCCCGTTCTATATCGTGGTCCGATATTCGGGGTGTTTATGACTCAAGGGGGTGAGACTTTTATATTCCCACTTGGAGCTTGTCAAACGAGTCCCCCAACCGTCCAGGATATGAGTCAGGAATGAAGACATGTGAAAGCAAAATGGAGACCACGGTATTATTACTGGGGATGAGGATTAGGGGCCACTATGGGGATCAATTCCTCAATTGCCCCTCTTATAAACCGTACAGTAGCTCCCTGCGAAGAATCCGTAAGCAGAACCAGACCCCTAGTTGACCTGCATCCTGCATGAACCTCGTCTCGGGGATTCTGTCCTCATGTCAATTTGCGAGGGCATACTCCACAACAGGCGGAGCAACCAGGGATCAGCTAGAAGAGCAAAGCTTGGAGACTACAGGACACGACAAAGGGCTGCAATCCCGAGAAGTCCGCGCACGGATTGTCCTTGAGGTTGTTGTAATTTGCCCGGTTGCTCTTGCCAGTATGATGATAATAATGATGACCATGATGCTTGCAGCAAGCCTAAGAAGAAGGCCACGCATCCTGATAACAACGATGACAGAATAGATCGTAGAACCACGACACGATGGCTAAAACACTAGACTGGCGGTATCTAATCTCACCTCACCCTCACCTCTACGTCCCTAGAGCCCTAATGCATGGGCCTCAATAATTGGGATAGGGTGTTGGCCACACTGGGATTATAAGGGAATGGTGTTGGGAACCTCTTGCGACTTGGCCTATATCCGCCGAGGCCGGGGGCCTGTGGCGTTCTTTTATCCGGAGGCTGGGATTTACCCTCCTGCCCATTCGGTTCTGATCTGTGTCTCATTATTTTTTTTTTGGCAGGGGACTCGAACATTTAGGCTTCTACAGTAGACTTCCTGAACCCTAACCTCCCTGAGCGCTAAGCTGCTTATGCTCCACACTCCCTCTAAACCCTAAACCCCGTAACTCCTAGACCCTCAAACCCCCAAAACCCCTCAAGCCCTAAATCCCTAAACCTGAACCCCTCCCTAGGGTCTGCCTTGGCCTTGGTAATGATACGGGCAAGGTCCGTCTTCTCCGCAACCTTCGCCAGGTGGGGGTCTCCGAATTCTAGGGTTTAGGGTTTACGGCTTAGGGTTGAGTTCAGGGTTTAGGGTTTAGGTTTCACGGTTTAGGGTTCAGGGGGGGTTAGGGTTTGGGGGTTTGGGGTTTCGGGGTCGCCTCATAGACTCTCAAATACAATTATATATTCCCTATTGCGGGGACTCCCGCAATCTTAAGGTTTCTGTAAAGGCACCATCCTACCCCCTGACAACCTTCAGACCCCATACTCAACCAAACAAACTGATGGCTCAAACTAGGGGGCCCTGGTCTTTGGCATACCACATATTGCCTGGCGGTGTCTTGTCTGTGGAAGCACATGTCAATGTTGCTTACGTCTTGAGGACGTGCCTGATTCCCCTATGAAACCGTATACCCTTATTCTGAGCCTCTTCAAATACTGTCGTGGGCTTGCCTTTGAATCATTCCTCCTGAACCTAGAGCTCTGCAGGAAATGCAATGAAAGTCAAGAATTTGCCTACGATGCATTCGGCCACGGATTTTAAGGTGTGGAATTTTGGGGTCATGATTTGGCGCTTGGGGTTTCGGCTTTGGTGCTTGCGGTTACAGGGCTCAGGGTTCGCGGTATAGGGCCAGTCCGCTTGAGATGTGATGGTAGATCTGTCAGAATTTCACGCTGCTGCACGAAGATGGAACAATAAACTTCACCGACTTCAACAGAGAGTGGAGAAGAAGGACAGGGGCAGATACTGCCAATCCTACAGGCTCAAAAGATAGAACCTTCAACCCCAAAAATTGGCGTTGATACCTCTCCACGCCTCCCAAATTTTGCGCAAACCTAGGGCTTTTTCCAGGGGCCCTCCCTACTCCACCCCAACATGCTATGTCATTGTTTCGGATTTTAGCCTAGCCGTAACTTTCTGGAAACCTCCAAAAGGCCCGGCCTTCTCCAACATCTGGATCAGGGCATAAGTGATGGTCATTCCCGGAAATCGCTCCTGGCAACAGCAGCTGCCAAGAAGACTGGGCCCTAGCGGAAACGGGCACTCATTCGCACAGAATTGCCTAGTACAGAACGCTGTGCCACCTCGCCCGAATAATGCTTTTCAGAAGGTGAAGGCGCCAGGTGCTGTTACGCATGCTTGTGCTGGGTTGCTGTTAAGGCATTTAAATGAAGTTACCATTTCAGGGAACCTTTTTCTTTACTACATACCCGTGTTATGGTAACTTCAGTAAAGTACTTAAATCACGTTTAATAGCAAGGAACCACTATTTTTACTGTCTACCAATATTCTGGTAACTTGATTTAACCTCCCTCTGCTGCAGCTCAGCTTGGTGTAAAAACTCAACAAAGGGTTGAGCTGTGAAACTGAAGTATGATACTTGAGTAAGGTACTTAAATTAAGTTACCATGATAAGGGAACCCCTGTATTTACTATATACCCATTGTATGGTAACTTGATTCAAGTTCCTTAACAGCAACCCAGTTTTGTGCAAAGACTCAACAGAGGGTTGCTCTGAAACAGCGCACCTTGCCGCGGTGCGTTCGAGGCTGCGAGTGGCCTGTCACACCCGGAGCAGCCCTAAGGCTTTACCAGGGTAGGCTCGGGGGCCCTATAAAAATTACTCTGTTTATGGCTTTAGCAGGATTACATACAGGGATTGAGGGTAATGCAAATTATTGTTTTGGTCAAACCTACCCTGTTTAGTAGTTCAGGTATTCGAGCTTTTGTGAATATGGACTAGGTGCGGCCCCCAACTCAGAAAAGTCTGTCATAAGGTTCAGCGTAAAACTCTGAGGCCAACTTTTTCCTGGCATGGTATGTTAGGTCATGAACTGACAGACGAGAGTTCCTCAAACCCCTTTTGGGGAGTCTTAATATGAAGACGAATAGCTTATACTGTCATGGGGTTCATATTGGGCTCCCTGTTTCTGGAATGCCCTGGATGCTGATACCTATCCTTTCTCTGCACCTCGTGATCCTGACTACGCGCCGTTCTACAAGAGGCACCCGGGTGCGGTCCACCTGTAGGTGAGGAGCTGATTTCATGAACTACTATAAACAATTGGCGATCCCAACAACTAAAGATTATCGTGAAATTCCCTCAAACCAAATTCAAGACCCTTAAGTACTAGATGCTCTGCTCCTCTCCCAAACCCTCCGCGGTTCCGGTCTCCAACATCAAGCTTGACAAGCACAGCAAGCTTAAAATGTATCTGAAAGAGTTACTAGGTCAACTCCTGACATGCCTTAGGCTTTGCAACCCCAAACCCCTAACTCTTACAGTCATCCTTGAATTGGCGGTCATTTTTAGCATGACTCGGACCAATTAAGCTTGATGGAGGGGGGGAAGCTGGGGGGGGTGAGGGAATCCATGAAATCACCAAAACCCTCGTGCCTCCCAGTCGGGCGAGGAGAGACAGGTCGAGGTTGAAGATGTCGACCAGCCAATCCTAAAATGAGTTCATGGCTTGGGTATTGCCCCCAGGAAGTAACAGTCAATAATGGGGGCCATGATACGGGCGTCTACACTTATCCAACTGTTAATGAATGAGGGAAAGTATGCAGCTCAGTAGCAAGACGCTTTTCATTGCAAAGCCGGGTAAGAATATGAATTGCTGGCCACACGCTGGAACCCCTCACAAAAATGAACTCCAAAAATTATTCGTGGGACCCTTATTGCTGCTTGCATTCAAGCTGGCCTCTCTCATCAGATCTATGCTAGTTCTGACAGGTGTTGCCATGGGCGCGATTATTCTCACCGCCCCTTTGAAGGATGGCTACGATGAGGTGCCTGCGCATGCTCCACCGTCAAATGCGGTCTCTCAGAATCCGGATCCCCCGAGAAAACCTTCGACTTACCGGCATCAGAGTGAGGCGAAGGCAACGACCCTTGCAAGGATTATCTTGATGGGCTCTGCCGCTGAGGCACCACGTCCGCTGCGCTGTTGTCGCAAAGCAGCCTGAAGCGTGGGGTTTGCAAGGAGCCACTCATATAGAACATGCAGTACACAAGTGACTGCGAGGTAGTACCAGAGGGCTGCATTAAGGACACTTCGGACGGAAAAAGGGCATGGAGATACCTGCTCGATTAAGTTCTGAACTTCTGAAGCCCAATTTCCTTCGGTTGCCCGCTGATGGAGAAGGTGTTGCTCTGCAACAAAACCGAAACGCCCAAACGTTTTGGGCCTATGGTTGAGCATCCCTCCTCCACAAAGTAGAATGGTGGGTGTGCTTCCTGAAAACTCCCACATTCAGAATCCCTACAGTTGCTTGCGGATGCCAGACTTCCGGGGGCCTCACAGCACCACTTGGAGTTCAAGGAATGGAAGAGAACATAGAAGCTACTGCAGGCCCTTAGGTCCCTGTAAAGGGGTTATAGGGATACATGTCTACAAAGGGTTCGGGGTTTAAGGGTTTCAAGAAGAAGCATACTCCCGCATGTCAATTCCAAAAGCCATCTTCCAAAGCTTCCCTTCACCCGACCTCTAGGGAAGGCCTTGTCTCTCGTGGGATTCCCATCAATGCCATCCGAGGTTCAAGGGGTTCAAGCGCATGATACGTGAACCCCACAAAGTCCTGAGATCCCCAACCAAATCCTCCCGGAGCCTCCTATCCCCGAATTCATTCACTGCCTGGACCCTGGATGTCCTTCTTTTTGGCAATGCCTATGATCCGAATAAGCTGAGGAAGGCCCATGACGAGTGACTTCGCAAGCTCGGGCTTCTTGGCGCCACCCTTCAAAGTGTCCTGGCGCCGGGTTTATCTAATGCTGAGGGAATGGATTGATTGGCAATCAAAAGGGCTCAGTCTGCGGGTGGTAGCTCAGGGGGTCGAGACAACGGCGAGGTACATTTTGTGAAGAAGATGTTGCACCCTTTGAGAACCGCCAAGATAAAATCACTCAGCCATGAGGTATATATAGAGTAGTGCAAGATTTTCTCCATATACCGGATAGCAATTGTCCCGAGGAAGCATGCGCCTTTCCAGAGTAGTCCCTACCAGGCATCCTTGTGACAAGCCCAGCCGGATTTCCCAAAAATCGCTCTACAGCCACAATGACTCCCCCCGTAATCCTAAACGCTCCGATGTCATCCATACTTCGCTGAGGCAGTGCGGTCCGCCGTGAAGATCTCGGCATTGTCTGGGATGCCCTTGGCCTTCTGCGTCTTGGTGCCTCTTCAAGTCAGAGGATTGCTTTTGAGAACAAAGGCCTAGGCTTAAAGCTTTGGAGCTTGATGGAGCTAAGGTTATAACCAGGAGCCCCCAGTACGGGCCCCCGGATCCCTTTAAAAGTGAGCTGCCTTGTCTCTGGTAGCATATAGGCATCCTACTTTCTTGAAACAGCATTCTACAACTACGATAGGGGCCTCATTTGAGCGTAGTCGCTGCTTGGCTGCGCCTTGCCAATACGCTACCCAAGCTTGAGCGTGGAACCCGATGCGATGAGCCCCGAGCATCCTTGCTCGGAATCCACACCCCAAGCTCAAAGCAATACACGAATCACAATGCTTCACCTTCAATGAACCCCCTCAGCTGTCGCAACGTCAAGCCCTTCAGTGAACCCAACTGCAAGCCTGCAGAGGTCGGAATATGAACGCTTACGTTCTAGTCCAGAGCATGGGATCAAGGGAAAGAATACTAATAAAAGCCCTAAGGCAATACCGTCCGCACATGCACGCCCCATTACCTAAGACTGATCCACAATACTTGCCTTTGGGGCTGTTTCTTTTGGCACCCCCCNNCCCCCCCCCCCCCCCCCCCAAATCTATACCTACACCCCAAACACGCAACCTCCTATTTGCAGTTCACAAGGCCTGCACCGTTGATGCCAGACCTGGGAACTCTTCCTATTGCCGTCCCCCCATTTTGATTTGATGGCAGTAGGGTTAAGACGGTCAAGGGTGCGGGGCTTGAGGTCCAGGTTTGAGGTGCTTGGTTGCTAGGGCTCGCAGTTCTTGGTTTTGGGCATGGTAGTGGTTTTATATGCTCCCACCCTGAGCATGTAGTGTTGATGAAGCTGAACTATTTGTGCTAAACATCCCAACCCGGATAGAGGTCCAAAGCCAAACCCTTCTCTTGTACAAGAAGAATTAAGCTAGATGGCTCTTCCCATGATGCAGTCGTGTGACGTCACGGTACTGTTCTAAATTCTCATGCTCGCTTGGGCTATTAAGGATAGATTCCGGAGTTCTGCAGGACTGCTTCATCACCTCTGGCCCTGTCCTCAGGTTCCTCACTAAGCCAAGGATGCCTTCTTCATCATTCAATTTGCCCAGGAAAACGCCCCCAATTCTCTTCCAAAACGTGTGAGCACCCAAGCCGCAACTCCCAAAGTATCATTTCATCAAGCAGAAGGCTTGGTTGCCTAACAAGATGGCATCGAAAGCTTTCCATGTCTGAGAAACTCTTAGATGGTCCATTTCCTTTCCACCCATAATTGGTGGCACGTATCGAAAGTCATCTTACATGGGAGGTTACTATCCAACGAAGCCCAAATCGATTGCGGTCCCGGTCTCCCCGCCCAACGTATAACCCATACACATGCTTGCTTGTATGCCGAAGAAACCCCGATTCCTTGATTCTATATGGAGGTTGTCACAATCGGGTGGTTGGTGTCCGACTTCAGTGTTGTGTGAGGGCTCTCTGGAGAAACTCCCTTATACACCCACCCAAATCTGAAATCCTAAAACCCTAAAATCCTGGTACGCCTTGGCAAGCTAAGATGAAGCTGGGACGAGGCACGTGGCTTTGGTACTGTTTCCACCACCTTCAGGCATTCAGGTCTACTTTGTGTAGAACTTCGGGCGTACGGGTTGAGGGTTCGCACGGCCGTGATTGCCAGGTGTGTGGAATCCACCAAGATGGGGGGTTTAGGGTTTCCAGGTTTTGGTCTCTGGGATGTCAAGGTTAGCCAGTAAAACGAAGTTTAGTGATGAGAATCCCCCTCGCCTGTTTCTGAGTGAGCGGTGCCAGTGAGAGACACCCTAAACCCT